TATATATATATATATATATATATATATAAGTGCTATAAACAAAATATAAATAATAATTATAAAGCACTATTTTAGTTCCATATGTCATGTAAGATATTATATCATACAATAATAGTTTATATAACTCGTTTTATTATATATGATAATATGAAAGGTGTCCGGCATCACACATATATTATACAAGTCGGATGTTCTAAGTAATTATTTCATATGATCAATTTTTATATTGTACCAAAAACAAAAAGTCAAATACAATATCATTTATATGATATAAATAAAAACATTCATGTTGCATGATCCCCGAAAGTCGTCAGCACCAACTCATAGGCACTCAAATCATATTATAACCTAGTTTTATATGTCTTATATAACTTACATTAAGTTCACACTATTAATTATCATTTAATGATGAGCCATTAACACATTGTCCTGCGCCGAATATTGTTGTCCACCAATCAAATTATATATACCTCAAAAAAATAATAAACTCCTAATAAAAATTTAATATGATGATGTCAAAATGCATAGACTAATTGGTGCGGTAACATACTAAAAGTTAGAGTTTGAAAATTATTAAAATATAGAGTAGTATTAATTCTACAAATTATTGCTATTTTTTAATATTTTTAAAATGAAATAAAATTCATCATTCACGAACATGTTTTTAAATATCTTAAAATAATTTACATTTACATTCTCCTGATTACTTCTTTTGTGTTATCTGTGTGTGTTGAATTCTCGTGCAACGTTAAGACGGTAATTCATTATTCTACCACCACGAATTTTCTGGCACGCTTCAATAATAATCATAGAGCTCTCATAAATTCAAATAAAATAATATTATTTCATGATTGTAAGAGCGTTCATATTGGTCAACAAAATAGTGCAACTATTTGCAAAGTCAACAACATCCTTCATGAAAGCTCATCTCTTTCTTGGAAAATATACAATGTGTTCGATAAGATTAGGCAAAACATAGCATACAACTCATTCGGTGCATGAAAATAAAATTTAATATATGCTAAATAATAAGTCTCTATGTTACATAGACTTATTATTCAGCTTATATATATACGAGCTTCGCTTATCCCAATGTTTCTAATAATTCGAGCATCACATCCTCCACATGGGGGAATCAAATCCCAGACTAGAGAGGGCTTACAACTGACAAGCAGATGCCCGACCAACTGACTTGAGCACGCAAAACACACACACACAGATATGCTTTTATATATTTTTATTTATAGAATTTTAATACGAAGGTTATCTAAATGTAAATATAAAATTTTTTTGGCATTAAATATGTAAATGTCTTACAATTCCAAAAAAAAAAAATTAGGAGAGATTATTATATACGCAAGGGGATGGGCAAAGTGTTGCGGCGATAAAAGAAAATGCAAATTCACCTCAAATATTTATGACCACCACATGACTCTCCGGCCACATTAAATGCAGCTATTTATTGCGTGCACCCTCATTCGTGTTCAAAATTCTGCTTCACGGTTTTAAATTGTCCAGCCGTATATTTTCGAAATATTTTTAGTTTAAAACTGTGCTCAAATTTGACAAAGGCTTTATTAAACTTAGAACCCTTTCCTTGTTTTCTTTAATTTTTTTTTGGGTTCAAACTCACATCGAAATTAAGGAGCTGAGCTATAAGCCTAAATTTTTGATTGATTTTTTTTAGCCGATTTCGAGTTAATATGAATAGACACAAATTGACTCGAGCTCGAGATCATATCGTAATATTTTCCATTTATAAAGTTTATATAATACCATGCAAAATTGAATATAACAAGCCAAAAACTAATTTCAAACAGCTTTGAAGCTAAAACGGATCCAAAAAACTCAATTTGAATCCGTTAATTTAAATTTTGATCGGGGTCGTGCTAATTTTGAATTGAAACCGATCCAAATAACTCAATTTGAGCGAGTTTGTTTCGATTTCAAGCTCGATTCAATTTTGTGCTGGCTCATCTTATAATTAAATATAACGAGCCACAAGCTGATTTCAAGGCGATCTCAATTCAACTCAAAATCTGATCGTCAACAACCCTATTGACAGGCGACATTTTTTTTAGCAATTCCTATAAAAATAATTTTCAGCAAAAAATTTTTTTTTAAAACCATTTAAATGTGAAAAATCATATTCCAATAAAGAAACCTAAATTAATAACAAAATTATTTCCAATTAAATAATTTTGAATGTTTATAAAATTACAATCTATAAACATAATTTAACCTCAACATTTCTAAATTTATATTAAATTAACGAGCGAAAAAAATATTTAAAATTTTACTCTAAAAAGCACGTCTTAAATTAAACTATTTAAATTTTTTATCTAAAGAAAAATGTGAATGTAGGGCCCGCTTTTTATTAAGTCAGAAAAAAATATTTTAAAAAATAAATATACAGCAGGATTTTCATTTAAAAAATAATTTAAGAAATTATTATTATTATAATTGTCAGCGGCGAAGGGGTGAGACATGAACGAGCAGATAAGCACATCTTTTATTTGTTGAAGGCCAATGTTAGGAGACCCCGTGCTAATTACACCTATTGGCACTTTGACTTTTCGGATCGTCACTGGAAAAAGAAATTGGTTTAAGATGGCAACGGGCCCACCATCAAAATATTGAAATGAATTGTGGAAATTTCGCTTTATATGAGGGCTTGAATGTCAATGCGACTTTTTTTTTTCTTTTAATCCTCTGTGAAAATGATGAGTCCGTAAATTCATAAAAATCAGGAGAATTAGCTTAAGATTCTATTCAATAAAATCATGTCACGTGACGGTGACAGAAAAAATAAATAAAGTTATCCGATAACACAAAGAAATTCTAATCTCATGTTATTCAGATGTTATTGTGTATTATTCAAGTATTGTTATTTGTTATTAAAACTCCAGAAATATTTCCAGAACACAATAATACCTAAATAATATATAATAATACTTGAATAATATGGGGGAATATTTTCGTGTTATCGGTTATTTTTTATCACACTCATATAAAATAATTTTATTAGACTCTGAATAGTTCTCTAGAATCTAATGCGACGGATTTCTTAAATTAAAATTTAGGTCAGATCGGGTTAAACGCTCATATTATTAGTTATCTTGTTTATTTTTTTTTATTTAGAGATAATTTCTTAAAAGAGTAGGGAAGCGATTTCTGAGTCAAAAGCTACGTATGAAATCGACTGGATGGTATATTGATTAAAAAATTTCAGACAATTTGAAAAATAGGGAAAATAAGGAGGAAAAACTGACTGAAATTCTGGATTGACAATAGGAGCAGAGTAAATGGGGTTGATGGGGAAGATGGCGTGCTTTTAATTTTGTTGCAGTCAGAGGTTGGTGAAGGTGAAGGTGAAGAGCAGCAGAGAGAGAGGGAGAGAGAGAGGGAGACTTATTTGATCGAGGGTTTGGCTTCAATTGAGGGCAAGATCTGTTCATTTGGCTGTTTAGTGGTGGGTAAGAATTAGGGTTCCTCATTCTTGTTGCCTGCCTGTGTACTCATGATTCTTTGATTACATGGCTTATGATTGTTTGTTCTCTTCATCTTCTTCTTCTTCTGATTTCTGATTTATTCTTGGACTTTGGCTCTTTGGTAAAGGGTTTCGCTTGGAACCAAATCGCCTCTTTTTACGAGGAGCTCTTTTCCTTTACTTTTGAGGTGGTTTCCACTGCTCTCTTCTCTTTGTCAGTTCGTCAATGCTATGTTCTTGCTCTAAGATTTGGATTTTCAAAAGCGAGAGCCCTCCATTCAACTCAAAAAGCTCGTGAATGCTGGGAATCTCTAGGGTTTTGTCTTCTCTTCTTTCCCTCTTCTTCATTTCGAGACCCCGATTCAAAATCCCACTTTTTCTTAACCCTTTTTCGAAAGCTTCTGCCCTGATCCACCTCTGATGATTTTCTAAGTTTCTTCAAAGGGGAGCATACATGCATCTATCACTATGGAAGCCCATATCCAACTGCGCCGCTCTGTTCATCGACAAGAAAAAGAGCCGTCAGAGAGACGGCGGCGAGTTTTCCGATGATTCTGGCAAGCATCGGAAGCCCTCGATCCTCCGGCAACTCCAGGAGAGCAAGCTGCGTGAAGCCCTCGAAGAGGCATCTGAGGATGGCTCCCTCTTCAAATCCCAGGATATCGACTCCGACGCCGGCGGCGGCGGTGGGGATGGCTCCATTGGCCGGTCAAGATCTCTCGCCCGTCTCCACGCCCAGAAGGAATTCCTCCGGGCGACGGCCCGCGCGGTCGACCGTATCTTCGAGTCCTTCGATTCCATCCCGGAGCTTCAGGAGTGCTTCAAAAAGTTTATCGTCATGTACCCCAATTACCAGTCGTCAAATCTCATCGATCAGCTTCGCGACGAGGAATACAGCCACCTAGATGAGGCTAGCGCGAAGGTAAGCCTTGATTATTGCGGCTTCGGTCTTTTCTCATACCTGCAAAGCTTTGAGCAATGGGAGTCTACTGCTTTTAGTCTCTCTGAAATCACGGCAAACTTGAGCAACCATGCCATCTATGGAGGTGCGGAGAAAGGCACAGCTGAGCATGACATCAAAACCCGAATAATGGATTATCTGAACATCCCTGAGCATGAGTATGGGCTTGTATTTACGGTCAGTAGAGGCTCTGCTTTTAGATTGCTTGCAGAGTCTTATCCTTTTCAAACCAACAAGAAGTTGCTCACCATGTTCGATCATGAGAGTCAGTCTGTAACTTGGATGGCACAGAGTGCCAGGGAGAAGGGAGCAAAAGCGTACAATGCGAGCTTCAAGTGGCCGACGCTCAAGGTTTGTAATTCCGAGCTGAGGAAACTGATAGCGAGCAAGAAGCGGCGGAAAAGGGACTCGGCAGTGGGCCTCTTCGTCTTCCCGGTTCAGTCTAGGGTTAGTGGAGTCAAATATCCATATCAGTGGATGGCCATGGCGCAACAAAATAACTGGCATGTTTTGCTTGATGCTGGATCTTTGGGTCCCAAGGACATGGATTCGCTGGGATTGTCACTTTACCGTCCTGATTTCATAATAACTTCATTCTACAGGGTGTTTGGATCAGACCCTACTGGTTTTGGTTGTCTGCTTATCAAGAAATCAGTGATGGGTTGTTTGCAGAACCAAAATGGTGGCACTGGATCAGGAATGGTGAGGATTCTTCCTGTTTTTCCGCAGTATTTGAGTGATTCTGTTGATGGTTTGGATGGTTTTGATGCATCTGAGAAGGACCAGGTTGATGGCCTTGAGGAACCTTTGAAGCCGGGAACCAGCCGAGCATCACAAATGCCTGCTTTCTCTGGTGCATTCACGTCAGCTCAGGTTAGAGATGTGATTGAAACTGAGATGGATCAGGATAATAGCTCCGACAGGGATGGAGCCAGCACCATCTTTGAAGAATCAGAGAGCATTTCACTTGGAGAGGTGATGAAGAGCCCAATTTTTAGTGAAGACGACTCATCCGATAATTCTCTGTGGATTGATTTGGGTCAGAGCCCCTTTGGCTCAGATAATTCAGGTCAGCTCAGTAGAGGCAATATCGGTTCTCCATTACCACCGTCCTGGTTTTCTGGTAGGAAGAACCCTAAGAGAGTTTCCCCAAAGTTGCCTTCAAAGAAGAGTCCGATGCATGAGGACCATGTGCTCTCTTTCGATGCAGCAGTCTTATCAGTCTCACATGATTTGGAAAGAGTTAAGGAAAACCAAGAAGAGATGCCTCATATCAGTGAGATTCAGGAAGAGCCTGATAATGGCACTGCTGGGCGGAGAATGGTGAAATTTTCTTCTGCCAATGGAGGCAAAACTGGCACTTTTGGGCATCAAACCTTTCAAGAAAATGGTTCAACATCTGAAATTTTCCAGGAGGAAGGTGTAATGGGGATTAAAGAAAGTGCCATCAGAAGGGAGACTGAAGGCGAATTCAGGTTATTAGGGAGGAGGGAAGGAAACAATTCCCGGTTCAAATGTGGCAGATTCTATGGTGTGGAAGACAGTGATGGCGTTGTGAGCACGGGCCGTAGGGTTTCATTTAGTACCGAAGACATCAAACCTTCAGAAAGGTTCGGTCACAATTTGGATGCAGGTGAAGCTTCTACTCATAATCCCGCGGCTTCTGAAGCTGCCAGTGCCAGCGACTATGAGGATGATCAAGAGTGGAGCAGAAGAGAGCCTGAAATAATTTGCAGACATATCGATCATGTCAACATGCTGGGCCTAAACAAAACCACCTCACGGCTCCGCTATCTGGTCAATTGGCTTGTGACTTCATTGCTCCATCTCCGATTACCGGCATCCGATGGGGATGATGGGATTTCTCTTATTCGCATCTATGGGCCAAAGATCAAATACGAGAGAGGTGCCGCTGTTGCATTTAATGTGAGGAATGTGCGTGGCGGTTTAGTGCACCCCGAAACTGTCCAGAAGCTGGCCGAAAGAAATGGGATTTCATTGGGAATTGGTTTTCTCAGCCATATAAAGGTGATGGACAACGCGAAAGCACTTCACGGGGCGGTCGAATTGAGCGACCCTTCCTTGTGTGGCCCCGTGTCGAACGGTCGTCGGGACAGTAAGAATGTTACGATCCGAGTGGAGGTTGTTACTGCTTCGCTAGGATTTCTCACGAATTTTGTAGATGTGTACAAGATGTGGGCTTTTTTGGCCAAGTTCCTTGATCCGATATTTGTTGAAAGTGATGGCTTATCAACTGTTTCAGAGATCCCGGAGACATAGAAAAGTAGATTGAGATTGTGGTTTCTTCGTATTTGGGAGACTTGTTTGGGTAGACCTCAGATTACAGTTCACGATGTGGCTGGAGTGGTACATTGTATTCCCACTTTTGAATTTATTTATTCTTGGCAAATTTTCTAGTCATGTATCTTATTATATCATGCAGAGTTTGCTTATGGATTATGAATTGGATGTATATCTGGTGGAGCTCTTTTGGTTTCTCTGATATTGTAAATCTGAGGCTAAACAAACAGGAAAACTTTTGGGTCATCAATTAAGAATTTTGTCATTATAGATCAAACAAGCATTTTATGTTTTGTTAATTATTTTTTTTAATATTTTTTATTGGCTGTAAGACTACTTTATCTGTTTTAATGATGTTTATTTTGTTTTTTTGAGAGTGGCTTACATTTTCATCATGTTTAATTATTGTTATTTCAAACTCGGCGCTTCTTCTGTGTTCTCATAAGGTACATTTACATACATACCACACAATTCTTATGTTTTTACACTTCTAGCATCTAAACTTTCATATTTACGTGCACACACAAATAGTTGTTGTCACATAAAACATATCACCAGCACTATTTTTTTAAAAGTGAAATACCCTTTTCATGCATAGGTTTATGACACCAGTGTTATAAATGTAAATATCAAAATTTTGGGTATTAGATATGTAAATACAATAGAATTGTGTGGTGTGTATGCTAATATCCCTTTTTATGAAACAATGATGGAGCAGTTGATCAGTTGAATCGGTTAGCTGAAGGAAAGCAAATCTGTGCTTAAAGTAATGAAAGAGCCATCATCTTCACCTTCATCTTGTCTGGAGATTTGCATTGAAAAACAACAAAAACAGATATTTTGATAGTGATTGTTTCTTATTAAGTAATGGTTATATCTATACTTTTGCCATAATATAACCATTTTTAACTCAGATTTTTAGATCGGATTAGTTGTTGATTACTCAGTTTTCATATGGACGGTAAAGTGTTACTTTTTTTAAGCCTGTTTTCAAAAATCTCTCTTTCTGAGTTCCATTTTCTTTTATGTTAATGTTATCTATATGAAGTCAAGATGTCTATATTATACTCATTATGGATGCTGCAATCATTCACTATGGCCATTATTTCATTGTGGTTGACTGCAAAATTTTGGAGCTTAAAATATCTTCGCAACATGGGCAGCTCTATGTTCCTTGTACTACTATCAATACACTTAGCAAATATAGAAAATTTCTTCTTTAGCCTTTTTTTTTTTATTGCTGTAGATTACTTCACCTCATTGTTTGAATATATGCTTACTTTTTTTTTTATCGCATTTCATGTTCTCATCATGATAGGGAATTCAAAGAAATTAAAGAAAAAAATATATATGTTATAATTAATTTGGCATATAAGGCCTAGGAGAGGGAATATTAAGGGAAGGGTAATTTGGGTATCATAAAAGTTTATTAATCTGAAGAATTTCTTTCAAACTAATTTTCATGATTTTCTGACACTTTTTTGCATCTGGATGAAACTTTATATCCAGGCACCCCTAATGTGCCTAACAATTCGAGTATCACCTCCTGAAGGCCAACTATGCTAGAGGGGATTTAAACCCCCGACCTGAAGGGTTTTATACTGTGGATGTGAACTAACAGGCCGGGGTACACGACACTTATATATTCATTTATTACTTTCCTTTTTCTTTTTTGTTTCACTACCCTTTTTTTTTCTTCTGTTCTCTATATTCCAAGTCCTAGTTTGTCTACAAACTTTAAAAAAAAAACTATATGGATTTGTCTGGAGAAGTAAATGCATTATGAATCTCTGAGAAATAAAATCTGGTTGGTCTGCACGCCTTATTTGCCGAGTTCTTCAATTTCTAAGCTCTCAGTGTGGAGAGCATTTAATTCCATCATCTAACTGTATGGTTCAGTAAATAATTCAGCACTTTTTTTCTACTCAACTCTCCATCCCCTGAATTGCCATGTGGGGCCACTAAATATTGGTGTGGGGGATTCATTGGTTGGAGATCCTCAAAAGTAGGCTATTCAGTTTGCTGAAAATATAATGTTGAAATACAATGAAAAATAAATGTAGTGTTTTGAAATGTGAATAGTGTTGTTGTGATGAATAAATTGTATGCATGAATTTCTATTTTTGTGTTTGGGTTAGTATATTTTCAATTGCAGTGTAAAATTCTTGATTGGAGATAAAAAATGACTATTTTTCAGTGTTTGCCAACGGCGGCTATTGTCGGAGGTTGTGTATGGCGGTTAGCATGTGATGACCAGCGGTTGCTTGCATTGAGGGTGATGGACAACAAGGCTGGTGGTGGTTATGGTGGCGAGCGATGATAGTAGTGGTTGGCAGTTGGCGGCTGTCGGTTGTCGGCTGTCATCAACTGGGAGGCAGATGCAGCTTTCGGCGGCGGCGGGCAAATATTTTACACTAAAGGTGTAATTGGAAATTGGAATTCAACCAAATCAAAGGAATGTCAAATACATTAAAAACGAAATGAAGAAGGAATTCCAAATAGAACTTTATGATGTATTTGTTTTCCTCCAATCAGATATTGAAATTTTCAAAATGAATGCATTCATTTTGAAGTGTGCACAGAATTCCGCCAACCAAACCTTATGTTTGTTTTTTCTTACCTTAGTGTTTTAAAGTATTTATTCTCATTTTTAGAAAGTTACGACTTATGGTGATTAAATTTGAATGTAGCTTGGTCTTGATTGAATCAGGAATTAAGTGTGCTCGAGATTGGATTGAAAAGTATTTATTTGTATTTAATTCTATACAATCTCAATCATATAAGTACTCAACAAATCAGCTTCAGACACTATTAGATGCTCCAATGACTGCTATGAAATAAATTGATATGCAGAAAATGGAACATATTTTTTGAAAATTGGTGAAAGGCACATCTGTCTTATAGAAACCGCAGAAGCTGTTGATGTGTCTCCATCAATCCATAAATAATAATAATAATCTTCAATGTCTCATTAGATTAGGTGGAGAATCTTATAAGTTTGATAAGGTCTCATTCATTTTTTTTCCACGAATCAATTCAACATATCACCATAGTTGAATTTGATGGTCATTAAAGAATAGTATTCCTTGGATTTGTTTGTTTAGGATTATTATAGGTTGAATGGCATTGCAATGTCAAAGGGGAACAACTGGGGAGATAGTCTGGACAGTTTAAGAATTAGGTCAGCTGATTATGCTCATTTGTTTGAAAAACAAGCAGCAATATGATGTTACTGATTCCAATGGTGGCCCATCTGACTGTTTAATTTTGAAATTTTTAAGAAAATGATTTTTTTTTTTTGTCTTGAGAATTTTGATTAACTTTATGAAATGGGTTTGGTTATAATGTTAATTATAACAGTAGCTATATTAACTTTTTTAATGTGCATATGATTGAGAGGGACCATCGTTACTCGCTATTTTACTCTCTTTTTAGCTGTTTCGAGAGTCCAATAATGGAGGGATATTAAATTCTTCCAAGGGTCGATTTGGGCTGGTACATCTATTTGAAAAAATAACTGCAGAAAAATATTCAAAAGTTATGGCGGTTATTACAATTTTTTTATTTTCAAAATGTCAAACCTCAGGTTTAGGACAACCACCACACTTAGCTAGGGCCAGTTTTCAAAATGCAGTTTCCTACCGCAGTTTTGTCAAATACATATAGTACCGTTTTAAAGTACTTGAAGACTGAGTTAGAAGAGATTTATCATATGATCCCAAAAGATATTTTTAATTCTATTCAAGTCTGTAAAAATTTTCTTAAAATCAATAATTGATTTTTCTTAAGATTCTCTCTTTGATATAAGATTTGCCAAAATATCATAATACCAATAATTTAATCAATTTCTTGTATTTTAAGGAAAAGGCTCATCATATCTTTGAAAATTTTATCATACAAGGTAACAATATATCCCATCATCACGATAAAGAGAACGTACAACAAAAACCAAAAAAAAAAAAGAAAAAAGAAAAAGAACATGCAAGAGATAAAATTTGTATTTCTAACATGAATTTTGTGATAACTCAATAGGAACACAGAACATGGAGCGACAGAAGACTTTCAGAGCCTGTTGGCGTATGTAAACCTAAGCAGAAATTCAACTTCTTTCTTGCCTTTCTATGGTTTGTCTGTTGTGAAAAGGACAAATTCAATGTCAACTTCCTCTCCGGCTTCCACTATGATTTTTTTTTTCTTAATTAGTTATGCATTTAACAAAAAATGTACCAGTCATGATTTTTTGGTAAGAAGAGTCATAAAGAAAGCTTCCCTTAAGATGCCTTCAAAGAATGAAAAACCAAGAAGATAAACCTCATATCAGCGAGATTTAGGGAAGAACCAGATAATGGCACTGCTAAGAAGAGAATGACGAAAGTTCTCTTTTTTCAATGGAGTGAAAATTGGCACCTTTGAGCATCAAAACTTCCATGAAAATGGTTCTTAACATCTGAAATCCTCCTGGAGGAAAGTGTAATGGGATTCAAGAAAGCGCAATAAGAAGTGAAATTGAAGGTGAGTTCAGATCATTAGGGAGTAGGGAAGGAAACAATTCCCGGTTCAATTGTGGCAGATTCTTCGGTTTGGAAGGCAGTGATGGTTAGATCCATCATTTTCACTTCATATTGTCTGCAGAGTTGCATTGAAAAAACCACGGAGCAAATTTTTTTTTAATGGCTTTTCTCTTATTTAAGTTATGGTTAGATATATAAATTTGCCACAATTGCGGCTTTTTTTACTCAGATTTTCAGATATGACTAGTTGTTGATTACTCAGTTTTCATATGGACGGTAAAATAATAACTTTGTGAAGTTTCCTTTCAAATATCTCTGCTTCGGGTTCCGCTTTCTCTTATGTTATCTATTTTAAGTCAGGAAAAAAAAGAAAGCTCGCCTTTTTTTTTCTTCATTGTTCTTCTTCATTCCAACTTTTAGGTTGTGTTTGGAACAGCTGCAACTTATTAAAAAGCTGTTGCGCAACAGCTGTGCCAGGAAGCTGCTGTGGAAAAATTGACTGTCTGTTTATTTTTTGCATTTTTGCAGTCGATGTGTTGCAACTGTTTATGAACAGATGATTTGTTTGTCCTGCAGTATAGTGTTGTTTATTACAGAACTAATCTTGCTAGTATATTTCATACTTGAAAATAAATATCTAGTTTTAATGTTACAAAATAAAAACAAGCACCTCACAAAACTGTGAGTAACACAAAAGTCAAAATTAATAAAAAAAAATTATTAAAAAAATAAATAATAATATGATAATATTATTTTTAAAATATTTTTGGTTAATATCATGAGATAATCCTCCTTCTAACGAAACTTTCCACATCTGATCACTATCAATGGTGGAATCCTCCAACCAATCTGCCCAACTAAAGAAGTCATAATTCTCTGTTCTTTTCGTTGGACACCTATAAAATTGTCTCTCATAGCTATGTGGCTATTGCAAAGCAAAGAACATTATAATCCATAGCAGCAATATAATGTTTTGGAGGTACCGGAACTCATCGAGCTCATATTTCTTTAAGGTTTAAAACCATAATGCATAAACCCTTACTTGCAGCATTAGTAATAAAAATAATAGAAATACTCAATTCAAGTTTTATGAAACTATGGGGTCTTAGAGAACATAATATAAACCAACACATCTGTCACAACAAGAATACGGTAGAACTTACAAAAATGGGTTCTTGGTTGCCTTTAAAACATGTAATATCAAGCTCATATGTGTCACATATGCATATCACCAAGAAATGTCATATAGGAGAAACTCAAAAGGACTGAAAAGGAGAAGAACTCAGTTGCTTTCATTGGTATTTCACACGTGTCAAGAAGCAATAACAATTTATAAGCTATCCAGAAGAACCCATAAAGTCAAATATCTCATTATGCATAACATAACTGGAATTCTTCTTCTACATGTTTCTCTATTCATGTCATTCATTCTTTATACAGCTACCCAATATGAATAACTCCAAATTAGCTAGAGCATTTTGAAACAAAAATGTATCTAACAAATAAAATTAAGTATAATGAAAATAGCATATAACATATCCCGAGAAAAAAAAGTGTCCGACAAAAAAAATTAAATTCATGCATCCCAGTTGTCAAAAAAATAACACAAGTAATTGACTCTATTGTCAGTGACCATCGACATAAAAAACTCTCTTTTGGTCGGTTCTTTGAGCAAAATCATAGAGAACAAATAAAATGACATGTGCGCAAAAATTTCTAGAGTTTCTTCCGCATAACTTGCTGAATAGAAGTTACTTGTGATGTGCTAGAGACATTGGTGCATAAAGTAATCAACTGTGAAATTTGGCCTCTAATGAAAATTGTACCTTCTTTTTCCTTTTTCTCTAACGCATGACGTTTGGATCGACTAGTAGATTCAACTTCATTAAGGTTACGGTTGGGTTCTTCATTGGAGTTGAAAGTTTGCTCGACATCAACATTCTCATCTCTGTCAGCAAACCATCTCTCGCTTGGGACACATGCATGATTTCTTGTGGCCACGACTCCACCAAATATACGATCCACCTTTTCTTCAAGCTCAAGGTCAATGACGCTAAATCTAAATGTTTTCATATTTGACACAACCTACAAAATAATGAATGATTGATATATTGATGTAACTGCAAGAAATATAAATGGTGAAGGACATGATGTTTCATAAATTCTCACCTCTAATCTCTCAATCCAACATTTCTCAGAAGCATCGATGATTCACTTTATCAGTTCCCAACTCAAGCCCATGGATCATTGCTTCAACTCTTTCCATATTTTCTAGCTCTTTTTTAAATAATCCCACTTACTTTTCAATTGCATCTTATCATATTCCCTGCACGCACTTTCCTTAAACTTTGTTATTATATTCTGTCAGCCCACCTTGTTAAAATGAGCAGTTGGTAGTGTTGATATAACAACACTACCACAACCAACCCAACACGCCACCACCACACCAACAAGCCACTACCACCAAACTATAAGCACTACAACAACCACCACACCCATTTACAGAACACCACAACCACCACACCAACAAACCAAAACACCACACCACCACCCCACACATTGCAACCCACATAGGCCACAAACCACTTCAATTCCTCCATAGAAGAAAGCCACAAATAACGAACATTATCACAAGAATAAAGAATGCTTTAATTCCTTCATAAAGAAAAACCACAAACAAAAAACATCATCACCAGAAGATTGAATGCTTCAATTCTTCAATAAGGAAAAGGCACAAACCATAAACATATTCACAAATAGCCAAATTTTAATAAAGCATTACCAAAACAACAATGAGTAAAGGGCCAAAATTCCAAAGAACTAAGAGTAAAAATCACAAAGATCAAAAGGCCAAAACAACAAAGATCACAAAAGACCAAAATTCACATAAAGAAATATTCAAAGAATTACCCCCATTTCAAAGCACATATTCATAATTTTTCATAGAGCATAGCCACAACTCGAGAAAGAGCAGTCCATGTGGCTTAATGCCACAAAACACAAAAAATAATGTGCATAAAAGAAAAGGAGAGAGGGTAACAAATACCAGAGGACAACAAAGAACAAGGGGACTCAACAAAGAAGGTAGTGAATTCATTTTCCTACCGCAAGGAGGAGCAAGTGCCCAGAGAAAAGACTTGAGAGAGGAGTCAGAGGAGCTACACAAAGAAGAGGAATTTCCTTGGACAAAGGCACGAGAGAGGAGAAAAGAGAGCTGGAGAGGAGATACCTAGGGCCAGCGTTGCGATTTCGGTGAGGATTTAGGGTAGAGACTTGAGAGAGGAGGAGTGGGACAGAGGAGGAAATTACCACGTAGTTTCGTAATATGTCAACCAAAGAAACACAATAATTGTCCCTATTTATTATTCATATTGCTGCCCTAATTTTTTTGTCTTTTATTATTTAATAAGTAGTAGTTATTTATTATGTTTGATTTGTCAAACTCACTCATTGATATTTTTGTATAACAAATTCTATTCAAACACTTATAAGACTTCCTTTAGAAGTGCAAATCTTCCAATTCTAGGGTTTATTTTTAGTGTTTTTAGTTTTGTGTTAGTTCTTATTTTTTTCTTTTTGATTTTGGGTAGTTGTTTTCGAATTGTCATTTTAGTTTGTTTCAGTTGAATTTTTTTTTATTTCCATCAGTTATATTAGTTGAGCTCTTATTTATGAAATAAAATGATATTTTGTTGTTTATTTCTACTATTACTTGCATTAAATCTATCCTTTTAAGAATAAAAAATATACTTAATTCTTTTATTCACATCCTACATTGCTCGGTTATATCGCCTTCCAGACCCAGGGTGTGACATGGGTGGCCAAGTAAGTTTCCACCAAAATACTGCCCAACTTTAAATTTTTAAAGAGTTGTATGAGTTATGGTGATGTTTAGTTCCTCTTATTGAGCTTGTTTGGATTGAAATTGAAGTTAAATTAGTCCGAACTGAATCAAGAATAAGTGAGCTCTAGATTGGATTGAAAGTATTCTTTTGCACACAAGAATGCGCATACACAAAATTATGTATGTATTTAAATCTAAATGAATGAATGTGCACATATTTATATATGCACTTTGATTTGAATGAGTTAATATGTTCATAGATTCATTTATTTGTGTGAATTTTCATACGCATTCAGTTCAATCAAGATTAAGATATATATATATGTTTGAATTTTCACCCAACCAGTCCTTTGTATGTTTGGCTGAGAACTTGTCTTAGGATGTTGGAAATTAATCAAGATTAAATCAATTTTCTGCTTAAATTAAATTGAGAACAAAGTTAATCGAGCTTAGATTAAGGTAACATAAAATCATAATTGACTTTACCTGAGATCCTACTCAATGAACTTTGTTAGTTTGAAACTTCTATATATATATATTATTAGATCCCTAATCACGTCAAAATTGATGCATGGAAATTTGTTTTCCAACTTAATAAATCTAAAATTAGTGACAATTTTGATTTGATATTAAATCTTTTTATGTTATGTCAGTAAATATAAGAATGTGGGTCTTAGATTTAAAAATATGTAGTAATTCTGTGTAAACTCCCTTTATTTTATGATGAACAATAGAAATAGTTCGATTGTGACACGCATAAATACATCGGTTTGGTAGCTAAAAAAAGTGATTTGAGTGGTTAATTTATAAATATCAATGTTTATGACAGTCTGTATGCAATCATCCCGAGCATTTTTTAATTCAATCCAATCTTAATCAAATATGTACTTCAACAAATAATCTTGACATTTTATCCTATTAAATTTATTTCATAAAATTAATTAAAATTCTCATGAAAACTAAGGAAAAAAAAATAAATCAATAGGTTACACAATTCAAAATCAGCCACTCTCATGGGCCACTAATGGAATCATTAGCATGATACTGCTGCCATTTTTGTCAAACATCAGTATAAAACTATTGAATTATATATTTTGATCTTTATTGTCTTTTTTATTCTATTTAGCTCTATTTATTTCAATCAACTTTCCCCATTTTTCAACAATCATGTCATGTTAGCATGAATTGAGTTGATAAGATGTTATTGTTCTTTGATTTCTCCCTATAGAGGTCATTTAGCATTTTTAGGAAATAAAGGCAATGGTAGTCATTAATGGTGAAAGGGAATCACACCTAATAATAAATTTTATTTTATTTCCATTAATTTTTTTTTTAAATTGTAAAAATTTTTATGGAGTAAGAAAAATTGCATATAAAAACTTATTAAATGGTATTAAATTCCTCTAAGGCTCTATTTATAGTCATTATAAGGAATGGGTTTGAAGATAAATTATGTCATGATCTGAAAAGATATTCTTAAACCCCATTTAAGTCAAAAAATATTTTTTTTAAAATCAGTAAATATTCTTTATGGCCGCTATAAATAATGGGTTTGAAGACAATTTACAGCATGGTTGGGATGACGGTGGGTGACTACGAGTATATGGTCGGTGGCAGCATTGTAGTGCGTGAACACGATGGTGTCACCATTTGCAATTCGTTAATCACTCAATTCCGACAAATTTCAGATACACTCGAAATGAAGTATTGATTGTATTTGAAATTTATCGTAGTTTTTCACCGAAATTTTTCTTCAACAAATCAAACAAACAAAATTTGGAATCCCCTGCATTCCAAACTCTGAACTATGTTCTATTTTTTGGTTTTCTGAATGTGTGAGGAATGTAAATACTGTGAATTGTGGAAGGAGCAGTACAAAAAGCTAGAGGAAGATTTCTATTGGGGCATGTTAATCCAAGGAGGATGCATTTCTCTTTCTCTAACTAGAGATTTCTCAAAATATTTGGTATATTTAATAGCACTGAATGATAATAATATAGAGAAATTGGATGGTGTTTGTTATATTACATTACTATGATGCACTGAACATTGATATTTTGATGAAAAAAAAATAGCTAAGTTGAATGATAAAAAATATTGAATTGCACTATAATATCATAGAAGAATGTAATAACATGTGGGCTTAGAAAAAAATTCTTGATTATTTTTAATGCAACAATTTTTTTTTATACTACACATAAAAAGAATGTTAGAAAAATCATTTCAATATCAACAATAAATATAGTATAAAACACTTTGCATTAAACCAAATGACAGAAACCAACTAGAACAGTTCCAATCGTTCGTTACCTTATAGAGTGATCTCTCTGAAAAAAATAGGCCTTTTTTACAAATATCAAAATGTTTTAGTCTCTAGTATTTGATTTTGTATCCAAGCTCCGATTATGTCCGTTTTATTTAAATATATTTTGCATCATATTTCAATAAAATAGCCAAAATCGGAGCTTGGGTATGAAATCTAATAATGGAGACTGAAACATTTAGATATTTATAGAAGGCCTATTTTGTTGATTAGAGAATGCTCTAAGAGGTAACTAACCATTTGATTTGCATTTGTTGGTTTGTGTCATTTGGTTTAGTTTTTATGTTAAATGGGTTATACGAGTCATGTACGGGTTGGTGGGTTGAAGGCATGTCGTATTTGTGTCGGGTCAATCTCAAGTCACACCCAAACCTTACTCATGAACACGATTTGACACCCTTACCTAGAAAAAAAAAATACGTCTGGATGAGATAGATGTGAATTAGGTGTGGATCGATGATATTGACATGGTATTGATGATATTGTGGTGGTATCGTATTATTGATGATATTGTGATGGTATTGAAATACAATACCATCCCAACTACCCGAATAACACGGTCTGCACATATACTGGACGTACACAATATTCTCGACAATGAATGCCTTCAAGTCTAAATAATCAAAAATATAATATCAATAATAAGGAATAAAAAATAGTAATTGGAATATCCCCATATAAATGGTCACTATAATGCATATAGACCACACTAGTAGTAGTTATGATATTGCCACATAATGGAGAAGTTGGAAAGTGCGGGGCTCATAATGTTGCTCAAAAGTCTTTGCATCTCAACTTATATTTTACATAATAAGAATATTGTGTTTTAGGCATGAACCAGGAGGAAAGGTGGATTTTGCGCCATCTTTTCCCTTTGCAGCCAAAGCAGCAACACTATTTCTCTCATTTTATTTTTATTTTTATTTTCTCGTAAGAAACAGGGAGAGAGGGAGAGGCTGAGAGAGACAACACGCACAGAAGGCCGGAGCAGGTAAATCATTTTATATGGAATCTCACCTTTTTCTCATTTGAGAGGACAACTTCAAATGAACGACTTTTAGTGTTTTTTTTTTCTCTGTTTAATTTCTTCTCAACTTTCGTCTATTATTTGCAAGAAATGATCGTTTTTCAAAGACATCTGAAGCAAAGAAGCCACTTACAATGAAAAAAATGGCAGCTTTATTTACAATGAACTGATCGCCGTGCTGTGTTCTTTAGATTAGGTTAAAGTTCTTTCCTTCTTCGGTTATTCCAGTCGAGTTCTTCCTCCTCGAAATACAGGGTCCAAGATGTCCAAAATCCAAACTTTTCCTCTTCTCGTTCATTTTTTGCGGTAACATTTTGTAAAGAACCAGATCCTGCGATGCACTTGGTATTGTAAAGAAGAGATTTTATTTATTTTTTCCACTTTTGCCTCTGTTCTCTTAGGAACTAGTTATGTCAGTGTTCTATGAGTTCTACGAGCTCTTTTGAAGCTTCAATGTTCCAGATTTCTTAGCAAAGATTCACATTTTTATTTATTTTCCCATACTACATTCGATTTGTCGTCAGTTGACCCATTCCATTTCTCTAGTATTCGTTTCCAAAGCTTTTTTTCTGTCAAAAGATTGCACATTTTAGTAAAAAAAGTAGTTTAAAGATTCAACTCTAAATTCTGCTAAATTTTCAGGGTTTCAGAATGGTGGAGGACTGCAGGTACTGTGAAAAGTGGAAGGAGCAGTGCAGAAAATTTGAGGAACATTTCTATTGGGGACATGTTAATCCAAGGAGGATGCATTTCTCTAAGTCTATGACTGGAGATTTCTCAAAATGCATGGTATCTTTAATCTTGCTGAATGATAATATTTTAGAAGATTTACATACATTACAGCTTAATATTTTACATTACTGTCATACACTGAAGATTCATATTTTGATGTTCTTATATATATAGCCACGGCGATTGAACAAATGAAAACATTGGGAGATTTTGATCAGGTTAGATTGAATCAGAGAAAATTTGATATGACATTAGCTAAAAATTCTAAAACATCAAAAGTAGATGAAAATACAACATTGGAAATTTATCAAATGACATTATTTGAGAAGAATTCCTTTTTGAGGGGCTAATATGTAATCCATAACTATATTACCGATTGATTTCAAAGAGGGAAATTAGTTTAACATAAAAGAAGATGCACAAAAATTAAGTTTTAGGCGGTTGAGATATCTATCGAGATTTTGAGAATTATTGCTAATGTTGGAGTTATTTGATTTACAAAAGTGCAGATAATATCCTAAACACTGAGAGGGTGTCAACTTCTTAAGAATAAATATTGAGTCATGCCATAAAGTTATGGGAGAAAGTAATAACCCTTCAGCTAAAAATTCTTCTTAATATCAATTGGTTTTGTTTTATTGAAATCTATTTTGGGGATAATTTTTTATACTAAAGAAATTAATTACATTTATGAATAAAAATAGAGGTGTATTTGTGTTGTTTATTCATTCTAAAGGTTTATGTTCGAATATTATAATAATTGATTTGATGTTAAGTAAGGAGAAGATGTTTATTAAATTTTAGACAACTATCAAGGGAATGCATATGTAATATGAAAAATATATGATGTAGTTGTGAAGTGATTAAAAAAATTCAGATATATAAAGAAAAAGTTAGGAATCAACATGACATATATTTGTATCTCAATAGTTTTGGGCATTTTGTGAATGATATTCAAAATGAGTTACATTTATGCATGTTATTTGTAAATAAAATAGTTCTTTTAGTTGTGGAAGCATTTGAATTAATTGAAATTCTGAGCAACAAAAGAAGTTTAATAAGGTTTTTAAGATTCAATAGCACTTAGGAAAATAATTGTATAAAAGGTTATCTTGGGCACTACAAGTGTTTTTTCTTAATTGTAAGTAGATTGTATGATTTATGGACTCAATTGTTTTCAACAAAGGAGACACTCAAAATTTAATGGGAAATAAAAGAGGGGCATTTACATACATACCATTCAATTTTTATGTATTTACTTATCTCAAACCTATACTTTTATATTTGTACACAACACTCAAATATTCAATAACTGAAAAAATAGCACTATTACGACTTTTTTAAAGTGAAGTACAAATTTCACTGATAGATTTAAAGAACCAAAGTGCTATGTATATAAATATGAAAGTTTAGGTGTGAGATATGTAAATATATAAGAAATGTATGCTACCTATGTAACTTTTCCTAAGAAGAATCAAGTGAGGAGGAAGTAAATGAAAATGATAAGATGGTTGTGTGGTAAAAACTTGAAATATAAAATATGAATTAATCATAACATATAAATGAACACTTTCTTTATGCTCAATCATGGTTTTACCCTTTTACAGATCATTCCGAAGAAGTTTATTGAGCACTTTAATGGCGAGCTACTTGAAACTGTTGAGTTGAAGGTCCCAAGTGGCGATATATGGCACGTTGAACTAAAGAAGACGAACGATGGAGTTGTTCTCGATTGTGGTTGGAAGTATTTTGTAGAAGCTCAGGGAATTGAAGAAAATGACACATTGGTGTTTAAATATGATGGCTGCTCTTCTTTTCTTGTCTTGATTTTTGAGCGAAGTGGCTGTGAGAAAGCTGCTTCTCATTGTGCAAGGAAAGGGGATCCTATAGATAGTTTATGTGATAGACCTTCTTTCAAAAGGGGCAGACATAGTTCCAATGGAAACTCTTATAGACATACTAACCAAGCACAGCCTATTACTGTTCATCACAAAAATTCAAGAGCCAACGGAAGTTCGGAAGAGATTCATGTCAGAGAGAGGAAGACTTCGAGGAGAATTTATAGGCGCAAGAAACTTTTAGTTGGTTCCAGGAAAATGAAAGCTGCAAAAGGTAACTTTCCTCTAAAATCTGGTTTTTTTTTTTTTTTCTCAGGACGGGCGAGCATTCTAATCTAGCATCTTGGGATTCTTTATTTTGTTTCCAATCAATGTTCTACACAATAGAGCATATTATTTTACTATAAAAATGCAATGTTCCTTATAAAAATGACATAAAAACCTGGCATTGTTTTTAACATAAAAAATGACATTATTTTCTACTAAAAATACAATTTTTACGTTAAGTATGGATTTTTCCCTTTCCAATATCATTATATGAATGATTGCCATCGTTAGCATGCTTCAGGTTTTTTGTTGCTAATTGCGTCTAATGTTTAATTTCTTTAAAATTTGGACTCATTATCACTCTCTTTCTATCTCAAGTTATGGTTCTTTGTAAATTTGTTGCATCTTTTTAATGAATGTGCAACAAATGAAAATCATTTTTTAATATCTTATTTTATTATTCATTTTGATGTTTTCGAATAAATTTAAAAGTAAAATTGAGAATTTGCACTTTTATTAACATTATTTTGTGATTATTCAGAAGAAGAAAGATGTATCATAAAAGCCATAGAGAATCCCTCCAATGAAGTCTCTTTGGATAAACGTTGTAGTCCTAACATCTTCATTGTTTCAAGGAAGGCAGGAATTGACGATGCAGATAAGAATAAACTGCAGAGTTTTGCTGAATCAATTCAGACAGATAAGCCTTCTTTTGTATCAATCATGGTGCCTTGCAGCATTGTCAAAAGATTTTATATGGTAAGTTCAAAGCTTATTCAAGGTTTTGGTGTTAATTTTCTTATGAAATATGCGATTAAGTCACATGAAATATTATAAGTTCATAGCAATATATATGTGAAGTTATATTTCATTTTTAATAGGTTAATATTAGTGGCATATTTGATGTGATGTCAAAATTTTGAGCATTATATCTGTCAATATTAAAATTTAGGCAAGAATTATGTGGTATGTGTCCGATTCCTTCATTATTGTATTATTAATATCAATAGTAATAATAGTTTAACCTACCTTTTCTTTTATTTTTATTTTTGGAAAATTGACATAAATGCCACACAATTCTTATATATTTGGGGCAATTACTAATATAGACGGCCCGAAACTTGCTATTTACAAATCAAACACCTTTTTTATGAGAAGGTAGGCAATGTTGTTTCAAATTCTTGAATGAAACCTTCTTGTTCTTCAAGCGCAGAAGCCTTAGCCGAACTTGATATTAATTAAAAGAGTGCCAACTAAGTGCTGATAAAGGGTGGAGGTTATGTTGAGAGTTGAGGTTATTGTAGATGAATATGAGTGTCGCTTTCATACGGCAAGAGTCATTGGTTCAAATTCAGTTGTAGGTTGAATTTCATATATACCTGATTCTGTATTATATAAGAATTTTTCCATCCTCTTTTTTTCATTCTATCCTCAGATTAATCAAATTAGACTTCATTGTTTTCAATTTGTTGAATCAAGATGTAGTGTGTAGTATAATTCTTTTGATTTTGATTGAATGTATTGACTACTAAGACGAAATTATTTTGACATCTTCTTCTTGTGTCCTAGCTTGCCTGAGAGCTAGATTTGCCTCAATTGTTTGTCTCTCACTCTCAACTCTGCTCAAGTTAGCTTCAGCGATTTCAAGTGTTTGTTGAGCTTCTTGTAGATCAATGCCAATAATTTTCTTTCTGCACCATTTCCTAAAATGGTGATCTCATTCTTCTAGCAAAACCGCCCAAAGAGCCACCGTTAACCATTAGTCGTTTAGCTATATCTCAAAAGATCTATATCTACAGACATGGCAATGGAGGCAAGGTTTGGTAATACCTCATATTGTCCACTATTAGTAGATAAAAGAATCTCTTTCATTTCGGAATCCCAAATCATTCGATTAGTAATCAGCACACAAAGATTTCAGGTCATTTCTTCAATTTGCTCTCCTTCATAACTTTTGCGGTAGCTTCATCGATGATACCCACCAAGCCTGCTCGGGAAGACCATGTAATTCTTCGGAAAGGATGAATTAAAACCCCCAAATTGTTTCTACCAGACCAACATCTTTTCATGGAGAACCAATAAAGGCTTTTGCGACAAAGAAAGGTTGTGATAAGAAACGCTCAATCTTGACATTTTTTCTCATTAAGCTTTCGATCAAGTGGCTTTACGTTCCCCCCTCTCTCTCTCTTGTCGTCCCACTGAGACCACGAATAAGCAATCGGTTAGGATTGTACATAACGGCTAAACCATTTCCATTCCCTCAAGCAATCCGGTGTGGACACCTGTCCCACGCGTAAATACATCAGTTCGGTAGTTCAAACAAATCACCTTAGTGGTTAATTTATAAATATCAATGTATCGGGTGCTCTGTATGTAATCATTTCTATTTATTTACATATCTAATACCTAACATTCGATATTTATATTTTTAACACTTGGGTGTTATAAACCTATATGTAAAAAGATATGTTTCACTTTTAAAATCTTACTAATAGTGGTATGATTAACTTTCTATTAAATATTTGAATGCCATGGATGTAAATATAAAAGTTTAGGTTTTAGATATGTAAATATATGTAAGAATTGTGGGGTACAAATGTAAATGCAACTTGCTTATCATATTTACCGTGCAGACCATCCCCATTGCCTTTGCAATTGAGTTCCTTCCTCGAAGCAGCAACAGAGCTATTCTCAAAGTTCCGGACAAGGAGGGCGTTTGGCCTGTTCATTGCCTTGTTCAGGCTCGTTCAGTAGGGTTTACTTCAGGCTGGAAGGATTTTGTTCATGACAACAGCTTGAAGATTGGTGATATCTGCTTTTTTGAGCTACTGGAGGTTCAGGAAGACATATTAATGACTGTCTATATCAATAGAATTTAGGTGTTTACATATTTACCACTCAATGCCTATGTATTTATATATATGACAGCTACCGCCTAAATCTTTGGTATCATATAAAAAAATGCTACTGTTTTAACTTTTTAAAAGGTGAAAGATGCATGTTAATGCATGGGTAAGGTGGTATATATGTAAAAATTGAAGTTTGGGTGTTGGATATGTAAATGCTTAAGAAATTGAGAGGCATGCATGTAAAGCTTATTAGAATTTGGGTGATAGTTATTGTTGTAGATTTAAGGCTTGTTGTTCTGCTCGACTTTGAAGCAGCTTAGGCTTTAATAATTTGGGATTTCATGCATTATAACTTGTAAGTTTTGGCATTAAATGGAATGAATGATCTTAATTTGGTGTATATTTGCAATCATAATTACTGAGATTATTTTATTTTTTTCATGACATTTTATTGATTAATGAACAAAATCAATTACCAGAAGGCCTAATATGATAAACAAGTAAATTTTTTTCCTCTTTAAACTAAAATAAAATTTTTGTTCATCTTTAAACTTAAATATTTAATAATAATTATATGTTTAATTTAATAAATAGTTAATAATTATTGCAAATATTATAGCCAATATATTAAACTATAGAATTTATTTTCTAATAATAATAAAAATATTCAGAAAATATATTTAGATAAATATTAAATACTATTAATTTTAAATTAATTAATTATATTAATGTTAGGAAAATATATTTCTACTTTTATAAAAATAAATTTTAAGTTATTTTAATATATTTTTATTGTATGAATGTTTAGGGCGTTAATTATGGTTTTAAAAATTATCTCTTAAATAAAATCGGCTGGAACAAACATTTAAACTAGTGAACAATATCAATTTTTTTTAATGAACTATGCAATTTTAATATTGATTATTATTATTTTTTTAATTTTGATTGGATAGTTACATTAATAAATAAACTAAAAATAAAAAAAATAAATCATTGATTTATAATCATATTCAAATTTAAAAGTGAAATGATCTAAATTAGATTATTATATGGCATGTTTATAAAAAGTTATTATTACATTATTATTATATCATTTAAATTATTATATTAAAAAAAATTCATATAAATTATATCGTTTGAACCTTTCAATATGCTTCAATGTTAACTCCAATTTTTAAAACTTTGGCTTTCATTGACACAATAGTAAAGACCATTAATATTGTCAACAAAATTCACCATTACCCAATATGCAGTAGTATATTCCTATGCCCTTGGGAGCCCTCTTAGTACATATCAACCCTGTCCTAAGCTGTCTTATTTAACCTAATATTAGCTAATTATGGTTGGCCTTCATTAATTTTGAGCAATATGGTAGAAGTCTGCATAAATATATGAGTTTGATATTAAAACAAAAAAATGATATTGAGTGATATTTTCATAAATATAAATGTTCAGAGCGACATGTATATAATTATCTGTGATTTTTAATTCTAGGTAAACAAATTTTGCATTAACGTTTAATTGTTGGCTTCAAATACGATCAAGCAGTCTGCACTCATCTTGAGACCATTGATTTGAATAATTAAAGTCTTTTTTGCAACATGATTAGGATTATATCCATCAAGTTTGATGCCCAGAGCTAAATCCACCTTTTTGTTTCGGCAATTGAAATTTGAAGGTAATGATTCTGGCCTCATTTTGTACAGTTTTTTAAGGGTTCGTTTCACATAACTTTCTCTCAGCTTTGTGTTCAAACCGTCACCATAATTTTATTTGAAGAACAATTATCTTGTTCCTTTCTAGAATTTCTAGAAATTTATGTGATGGGAAATTATTTTTTTCAGCTTGAGTTGTTAAAATGCGATGATTGTAAGAAAGATAATGTCTGGTTGTTCGAAAGAAATTGATTGCATCGTTCCAAAAAGTTATTTTTTCTACTGCAGCTTTACAGCCACAAAATAGGGCTGTGAATTTAGCTCCACAAAATAAGCTAGATGTGTAAATATCAAACTTTTGGTGTTACATATGTAAATATATAAGAATTATATAGCATATAGTAAGTTTCAAAATTTGTTAACTAGATATGTAAATACAAGCCCGGCTAAGCTATGATTGTGAAACTCTAGTGGAAAAGGCTGTTGCACGTGTAAATATAAGCACAGCATGAATTGATTGTGTTGAGAAGCAACCTCCACAAAATAGGTTAGACGTGTAAATATCAAACATTAGGTGTTAGATATGTAAATGTGTAAGAATTATAAGGCATACATGTAAATCTCCCGATTTGTTAACCGGATTCACAGGAACAATTCAATCACAAAACCTGCATCGTTTCAAATTCTTTTGCAGTATAAAATACAGAATATTCTATAAACCTAAAAGAGTGCTGTTAAAAATCTCAATAGTCAAGCATATGATTGGAGATTAAAGTCTTACGATTTCAAAATAGATAAATCATGTGGTAAATGGAGAGAAATAAACGAGCGGGGCCAAAAAGGGAACTAACTCCAATGGTTTTATGTTGCTCACAAACCTTATTCTTGCTTTTCTAGTTCCCCCATTCTCTCAATGATGGCCTGCAAAAATAAAACAAAGTTAGAGCAGTAATTTTTGGTTAAGTGGATAGAAATCAATAAAAAAAAGGGATAATTACAACATAGCACCTCAAACATTGCTTATTTATAGCACCCAGGTGATATTTTTGAAATAGAACTGGTGTATTTAGGTGCACCACAACCAAACCATTGAGAATTTGATAAAAGAATTTGATAAAAATGAAAAACGATAAAAATGAAAAACATGAGTTGGGGTCTTATCATGAATTTTGATATTTGAGCGAGAATCTGAAAATGGATGAAAGGGGGTGCTACATTTGTAAATAACAATGTTTCAGGTGCTATGTATGCTTTCTGGGATTTATTTTGTAAATCCTGGTTACAGTTTTCATTCCTATTTATTTTGTAAATCCTGGTTACAGTTTTCATTCCTTGAGTACTACGTAAGATCTTAATTTGATTTAGCATAATATTACTAACAATAATCAGAATTATTCCAATGCATTTATCAATTAAATAGATAGAAAGGATTCAAGGAAAGAAAGGATGTGGGCATTTATATATATATATAAGTATTTACATATCTAATACCTAAATTTTGTTTTTTTATATTTATGCCACCCAAATCTTTCGTATGACACGAAAAATATCACCATTTTAACTTTTAAAAAATGAAATACACCCTTTTCATGCATAGGTAAAGTGGTATTTAGGTAAAAATTGAAGTTTAGTTGTTAAATATGTAAATACATAAAAATTGAGTGGTATGTATGTAAATCTCCTAAAATATATGGGCATTTTTATTCTTCACGGCCCTCATCTCTCATGCAAATATTTGAATGATTTCAGATTTGAAGCTGCTAAAAGAAATTAGCAATATAACAAATAACCAAAAGTTGTTCTCTAGCTAATTTAAGGGTCTGTTTGGCGCAGCTGCAGCTGCGCTACATCAGGAAGCTGCTGCGAGGAAGCTGGTTGTCTGTTTGTTGCAGCTGTGTGAAAACAGCTGTGGAGCAGCTGTTTCTGGAAATATGACAATTCTATCCCTTTTTAGTGAAATATAAAAATACATAGGACTTGATTGATATGTATCTAAATGCACCCCCACCCTCATCTATAAAAAAAAAAAGAATATGTATTTTTTGTGCATATTTCTAGAGCACTGAAGTGCTAATATGTAAATAGGAAAGTTAGGTGTCGAATATGCAAATACATAAGAA